CAGAATGATTGCTCCCACTGCTTCCCCGCGCGCCCAGCTCAGCCCCGACACCCTGCCAGGGGCTCGGCGTTTGCTCCATCTTAACTGCGGACCCCAGCTCCTGGCCCCGATTGCTTTCGTATTCAGGAATGCCTGAGTAGCTCACCAAAAGAAAACACAGCACGTTAGAAGTTTTTCAAAAGGGAGTAGCTGCCTAGGAGAACAAAACAAAAGCCCTGAGTGATTTTTTTTTTCCAATACACACAAAATCACTCTCTTGCTATCCCTTTTAGTACAGAGACAATCTATAAAAAGGAGTCCTCAGGAAAAAAAATAACACTATGTGATAAGCCAAGGATTCAAGACCAACTCCAGTATTTGCTCATCTGAGAGGAGAATTCATAAACAGTGTTGTAACCAATCAAGAGTGTTTTACAACCAAAAAGACAGCTTCTGCAAAACGCCTTCGTCTTAATCCCTTCTCTTAAAAAATGACTTGAAAGCCTGCAAACGCCAGCAAGGTGCCCACAGTAACTGGACAAGGAAAGAAAAGAAGAAAAAACCAGCACACCCCTCCTACTGAACACGCCTGCCAGGCCTGAAGTTTCAGAGCCGTCCTTGAATTTTGCTTCTTTGGAAGCAGGATGGTCGCGTTTCCCAAATGTGCTCCTAGCAGAGGCCTGGGCGGCAGCAGGACAGCGTGCACCTCGTAAGCCAAGGGGACACACAAAGCCCCCGCAGGCAGTGCTGCTGCCCAGGCCGGGGGATCCCAGGCGGGCTGCTCCCCAACTCCCTCCCGCTGGCAGCGCGGTGCCGCCAGCGGCCGCTCTCAGGCAGGGGGATGGGTGGGAACTCCATTTCGCCGAGATCAGCTCCGTCTCCTCAGGCTCACGCTCCAAAGGCGACAAACTCTTCTTTCCAAGGAGGCAGCCCTCCGCCTCGCAGCCGTGACACCGGGCCCTGGCGCACAAAGAGCGCGGCTCCATTGTCCGCGGGCAGTCCCTGCACCTCGCCGGCACCCGGGGCTACGGGTACCTGCGGGAGAGACCCGGGCAGCCGGACCCCCGTGGGGGTCCCTCGCCCTCCCCTCTGGTACCCACACCCCGAGCCAGATGTGCAGAGCAGAGGCACAGAGCGGCTGCAGCGTATTTTTACCCGTGTGTTTACTCGTGCGAGACCGGCCTCCTCGAAACGCGCTAACGTTGAAAGAAATCTCTTTTCAAAACAAAGCGAGAAATTATAGGAACGAAGGGTTTTGCCTGGCAGCAAACCTCCCTCCAAAGCCACCAATGGAAACTCGCAAAGGTAGAAACAAAAAAAAAAAAAAAAAGGTAATTAATTCAGAGCCTACCATTTTTTCCACATCCATCTCTAAGCAACAGTACCATAGCAACTTTTTCCTGCTTTAATACATCTTACAAAAGAGGAGGCACGGACAAAATAAGACCCAGGAATGTCAAATTTCCACTTCCAGTCGAGTGCCTCGTATTTCCTCAGCCAGCTATGCCTGGAATTACACCAACAGCCCCGCAGCGCATTTTCTGCCCCGAACCCTGCCTTTGTATAACGCCCGATCCCGCGACCTGGGCTCGGGGACACCACAAACCACACAGCAAATGCCCCAGTGCCACCCCCTCCGTGGGAGCCACCGGGCGAGCAGGCGGCGGTGGCGATGCAAGGTTTGGAAGGGGGGGGGACAAACATGAAGAGAAGCGACGAGTAAATAGGTCGGCGCAGCCCCCGCTCCGAGCGCGGATACGCAGCTGAACCTTGTTTTCCTTTGTATTTTTTTTTTAACGATTCCTGGTTTTTTTTTTTCATTTCAGCTCCAGCCTCGCCACGCCTGGCTGCCAGCCCCTCAGGATCGCAGCCCGGGGGTGCCCGAGCCCCCGCTCCGCCTGCCCACGCCGCCGGGGCCCCGCCGCCATTTTAGAGGCCGCCTGGCAGCAGCCGGCTGTGGGGAGAAGCCCCCCGGGGCCTGCTCGGCTCAGCCCAGCGCCGTGCACAGGCAGCGGGGGGACCACGAGCCGTGTCCCCAGAGCCGTGGGGGGGGCACGGTGCCACCCTGTGGGGCTGTGAGCGAGGCGGGGGGGGGGGGGGGGGGGCAGCACCCACGGCCCCTTTTTGGGCCGAGGCTGCGGGCAGGGAGGCAGCCGGGGCCCGCCATCTGTCAGCGGGCTCCCCGGCCCAGCCTCCTCGCGTGTTGGTAACCACATCTATTTTTCCCATGGTGACTCATTATTAAGGACGCGCCGTCATTTTTCCAGCGCGAAGGCAGCGAGAGCGAGGCAGGCTGGAGGAAGCTTCCAAATCCTTTCGGGATTAAAAAATAACAAATAAAAAAACAAAAATCACTCGGTGGGAAATCAGCGGCTGCACCCCGGGCTCGTCACCTTTTTCTTTTTCCTAAGAGGAGCTTGCAGCGTGCAGCGGGCACCAACTTTGTGCGCGCACGTTTCCCACAGCCACGGAAGCCTCTCGCACGGAGCCGTGCAGCGGGGAGGAGGAAAATACACCCGAGCCAACAGCCACTACTTCCTCGTGAGCTGCGCCGTGGGAGCTGGGTTCGTCTGTGCAACAACGACACGGCGAGAGGGAGGGAAAAAAAATAAAATAAAAAAAAAAACACAAAAAACAGCCAACAATAAGCGGCCCGGCCCGCGGAGCGCTGCCCTCGTGGAGGGCTGCGGGGCTCGGCGCTGCTTCCTCCGGGGCTCTGCTGAGTGCCCCCGGCAGCTCCGCCTGGCAGCGGGGGCACGGCCGCGGCCCGCTGCTGGAGCACGGGCCGGTCCCACAGCACCCCCCCAACCACCCACCCACCCCCCCAGGCCGCCCCCGCTGCCCCACTCACCGCTTGAAGTGCTCGATGATCTTCTCCTCGCGCACGTTCTCCGGCAGGTTGCCCACCCAGAGGTGCCTGGTTTCCCGCACCATGCTGCGCGGCGCGGGGCGAGCCCGCCGCCCCTGCCCCGGCCCCGGCCCCGGCCCCGGTCCTGGCCCCGGCCCCTGCCCGGCCTCGCGGCCGCCTCCCCCCGCGCAGCGCTGCCTCCCGCCGCCGCCGCCGCCGCTCGCCCGCCGCCGCCCCCGCCTCCTGCCGGCCGCCCTCCGCCTCTTCCGCCGCGGGGCCCCGCCGCCCTCAGCTGCCTCCCCCCGCGGCGGCGGCGGCGGCGGTGGTGGCGGCGGCGGGCGGCACCATGGGCTGCGGGGGGGCCCCCTGGCTGCCGGGCGGCGGGCTCCCCCCCCGCCGCGGCTCCGCTCGCTGCCGGCCGCCCCCCGCCTCGGCCCCGGCGCGCTGCTTCGCGCTTCCTCCTCCTCCTCCTCCTCCTCCTCCTCCTCCGGCAGCGGCAGCGCGGCGCCCCCCCCCGCCGCCCCCCCCTCCTCCTCCTCCTCCTCCTCCTCCTCCTCCTGCCCCTCGCGGCTCCGCCGGCTCCGCTCGCTCGCCCCCCCCCGCGCCTCTCGCAGCGCCACACGGGGGCCCCCGCGCAGGCGCAGTGCGCGCACGGGCGCGCGCGCCGCGGCCCCGCCGCCGGCATTGGGCGGGGGGGGGTTGAGGGGGGGTTGGGAGGGGGGGGGGGAGGAGGAGCGCGAGCGCGCAACGCCCCGCGGCCGGGCGGCGGCACCGCGCATGCGCGGGGGCGCGCGGGGGCAGTGAGGGGAGGGGGGGGAATGGGGGGGGGCAGCGATGAGGGGGGGATGAGGGGGGGGTGGAAAGGGGTGAGGGGTGGGAAATAAATGGGGGGGGCACAGAAACGGGGTGGGAAATGGGAAATTGGGGTGTGACCCCTCTGTATAGCCGATAAGGGGGGGCTGGCTTGCAAAAAAGGGGGTGAGGAGGAGGAGGGGGTGAGGCGTGAGGTGAGGGGGGGGACACAAAATGGGGCTGCCCTGAGGGAGGGGGGCACTGACGGGGAGGTGATGAGAATCGAGGGGGCTGCGCTGCCAGAGCGGGGCTCAGAGCTGTGTTACACAGCGTGGGGTACACCACAAAGAAGGGGGTGCAGCGTGCCGAGCACCCAGGGGGGAGGACACAAGGCGAGGGGGGGGCAGGAGGAGCCCTCCAGGGTGCTCCCAGGAGCCCCCCCAGCTCTGACACACGGTGCCCGACAGACACACGGACACCCCGACACACTCAGAAGCCAGGGCCTCGAGGCTCCCCCTCTCCCTGACACGCAAACCGAAGGAAACCCCAGCGCGCTGCCTCCATGCCATCAGCAAGAGCAAGAGCGAGTCAAAAATTAATTTGGGTGAAGGCAGGCAAGGGCCCGGCGTTGCGCGGCCTCTCACGAGCCTACAGCGCTGTTTATCTCGAATGACTCCAAAGTTCAGAGCTATATGCAACCTCACGCGGGGCTGGCAGCGCTGGCCGCCCGCCAAGCGCTCCGGCAGTGGGAGGGAGGTCACTGAATCATCCTCGCTCTTATGCAAACGGCCACGGGCGCCTCGCTGCCAAATCCTTCCCCCGACCCAAACGGGGAGGCCGCGGCGCCCTGAGAACCGCGCAAAACAAACTCACACCGCACAGGGGTTCGGAGAGCAAGGCGTCCCCTGCTCCTGTGCCCCAGTGTGGGTTTTCTGTGGGGATTTTCTGAAAAAAGCACCCACTGCTGGCAGAAGTGGCCTGCCCCGGTGCTGGAGCGCGGGCAGGGTGAGCCGCCCACGACAAGCGGCATGGGGCAGGCAGCACTTCACACCCCGGCATCCGCCGTGAAAGGACAGAGTGCCGAAAAGAGCGAAAAAATGTGAAATTACAGTTGCAGGGATTTTGGTACTTAACACTGCTGACAAGGCCACGGTCTGACCCATCCCTGCTTGAAGGGCAGCTCTTGAACCCGGAGCTGCACGTCCTTAACCTGGAGAGTAGCTTTTTTCACCTACAGGAAAAAAAAAGTGAGACTCTGCGCCGCTGATACTACCGCTCATTTATGTGCCCAAAAATGCCCAGCTGATTACTGCCACAACACTCAGAGCAGCAGCGAGTGAGCAGTCTGAGGTCAGGATAAAACTGAACACGCACCCAGGGCCATTAGTACTTTTTTATTTTTTTTTTGAAGCCACATAAGCCAGTTAGCTGCTTTCACCACAGAGAGCAGACTAATATTTCAGTATTTTCCTTGGCCAAAGCCTCCCGCTTGCTGCCGGCGCTTTTCTATTGATTAAAACCATGTTCTTATTTGTTGGGATGAGCGGAGCTCAACTGTGCCGCCTCTGCCCTTAGTCCACTGCTCGTTAATCTCCGGTGGGCACCTTGCAAGATGCCGCCTGGTCTGGCAGGACCCTGCCCAGGGCAGCTGTAACCTTCTAGCAGCAACTGGTCAAAGTCGTCGAGCTATAGGTCACTTAAACTTGCAAATCTCTTGATTTAATCAGACCTCTGACGCACATCAACTTGAGCCTCTGCAAACCTGGGTCTTATCCCCAGCTCTGATCCCTTCATGGCCCCGTGCCTCAGTTTCCCCAGTGATGACGGGTGTGAAACTGCTCTGCCAAACTGAGATCTACTGATTAAAAATAAATAAATCCATCTTTTGAATGCAAACCATTTATTATTTAAAGCATGTGACCAAGCCACACACACACACAAAAAGGCATTGCTAATGTACTCCACCAGAGTTTTCCACCACACATTTCTCTATGGAAATGGGCTTAGCTCTTTGTTTTAGCTGGTCAAAAGCCCAACGAGCAGGAACTACTTGTCTATACCTTTTTTAAGCACTCCACAGGCATCCACTTTGGGGAGGAAAGAACCCCCCCCTTCCCTCAAACCATGCATCAAGTAGCTTTTCGATGCCATATTTTCCCCTCCCCAGCTGGGCATGCTTGCTGAGGCAACACTTCCAACCATTTTCCCTCCCTCCCTGCCAGGGAAACACATCCAAGGGACAAGAGAAAGCCACACGGGCTCCCAGGTCCTTCAAAGAAACCTCTCGCGGGGTCACTGCTGTCACACCACGATCCTGAGAGCAGGCTGGCCGGCAGGGACGTCTGCAGGCCGACCAGGAGCTGTGGCAAACAAAGGCATTGACTCTGTTGACAGAAGAAATGGTTGAAAACAGTGCTTAAAAGGCTCCATTTACATGAAAGCCAGCTGGAAGAAGAGCACAAACCCTGGCCCCTGACGCAAAGCGAAGCCCTGGACCATTCTGATACTTTCCATATGTTTTTGGGGGGAAACTGTTCCCAGTTGCAACACGCAGCTTGGGCAATGCCGCCGTGACGGGATTCCTCCGGCTCACTCTAAGATTTTAAAGAACACAGGCTGATGCTCAGCTCAAGACAGGAGCGAGCACAACCTCCATCTCAGGAGGCCAAAGGGACCTCGATAAAGGACCAACTTTATGTGGCAGCAACCACTGCTGTCCTTGTCACCGCAGGAGGGACACGTGTTCACGCCGCCCGTGCCAGCCCACGGTCCCGGCACTGCTGGCGACACGAACCTGGTGGCAAGCACCAAGGGCTGAGATAACCCTGGACCCCTGGTGTGCTACTGCCATGCGGGAGGCAAAGAGCCGAAGAGGAGAGTCCGGCTGCTCTCCTCCACCTGATGCCTCTCGGCCTTCGGCACACACCAGGGCAGTGTTGGGCACACGGCAAGGCACAATTTAATTACTCGTACACGCGGTAGGTGTAGCGAGAACCCAGCTATCTCCGGGTATCTCGGTCAAACACTCAGTTAAAACATCTGCATGTTTCTTATCACCACTTGGAGAGGATTAAAATACCAGGCCAGATATTAATGAGGGAGCAGGTTATAAACCCATCTCAGCTTGAACACTGTGTTCACATCAAGAAAAGCAAAGCAAGAGCAGGACAGATCAAAAGAGAGCCATTAAAGGCGTGAGAAAATGGTGCTGCCATATAAGGAGCTAATAAAGTTAGCAGCTCTCCAGTTTGGAGAAAAAAAAGGGCAGGAGAATCAGAAAACATCCTTGGGGTCCATACAAAAAGCGAAGGAACAGCCAGAGACAGCCTCGCATCTAGGAGGAAATGTGAATAAATTGAAGGGCACGTCACAGAGCGAGCAGACAACACTTGAAAAGGCAAGTTCATACATTTTTAACATGTAACATAATGTTCGTAACATTTTTAACACTGTGTCTTACCCAAGTGGTGGAGCGCACTGCCACGTGTTGCAGGGACGGCTTGCCAAACATTTAAAGAAGATTAGATACCGAACAAGGACAGCAACCAGAGCTATATTTGCTAAGACCAGGACTTCCTATGCTTGGGTCTGGCTTAGCGAGGGCTCTGCCTCTGGAGCTCACAGCTGGGGCTGGGGCAGGGAGGCGTCACGCTGCTCCCCGCAGCTGGGGACATCGGCATCAACCAGAGACCTGCAAGGATTGCAGCAGCCGCAGTCACGGCACGCAGCAATTATCCCCAGTGTCCAGCAGGCACCCAGCTTTGCTTTGCTTTTTACAGGAAAACGCTGTGTTACTCAGCCCAGGGCTCTCAGACAGCACCAAGAACGCTCGGAGCTCGGCTTTGTTCGAGCTGGCCAGCTCCAGCCTCCATCTTGCCATTGGAAAATGTATTTACGTGCCCTTCCTGCTCATTGACTATATTTATTAACGTGACAGTATGGCAGCTGAATATCAAATTGCCAGCCAGGCTTTTATCTCATTTTTAAGCCAGCCTGAATTACCGGGCTAATTTTATTGCTTACCCATTACATTTTATGCAACGGATAATTTTCTCCAAGAAGGGATTGGTGCTGTTTGATATTTGGGCTCATGTGTTGCCAAGATGGAGGAGATTGGTTTTTACGATAACGCTTGGAACACGAAGCCCGGTTCTGGATCCTAAGCAACACAAAGCATAGGATTTGTATTAATAAAGCTATTGATTTGGGTTCTTGCCTCCTTGAGGGTTAGTGCTCCAAGCCTTCAAAACGTGAGAACTCTGTCCAGAAGGCTCCCTTCGAGTCACTGAAATGGTTGCACCCAGAATTTAGCGATTCCTTTTCGAACACCGCTCCCAGCTAAACCCGGTGGTGGTGTCCTTACCCACACAGCGCTGGGGATGGGAGCTGCCACAAAATACTGCCACTGTAGCCAGTGGGTTAGCATCAGCCACCTTCTGCAGCACAGTAAACACAGCTCAGGAGCCCCTGGAATTTGGTGTACAGTGAACCCGTTTGTATATATATAAAAGCACACTTCTGTTTCCAAAATACGTTGCTACACAAAAACAGACGTTTCAGCACCGCACAGAGCGATTGCTAAGCCACGCAACCAAAACACCACGTGCACTCACAGGACTGCAAAGGAGCTCACTCTTGCTTACTGTGTAGCAAATATATTAGAACTAATACCTAATTTTTCATGAAACGTAGGGAAAAAAATAGAAACATCAAGGTGCCAGCTTCTGCCTTGGCCCCAAAGATCTCTGCAACCACATGAGGAGCTGTACCTGCTCGTTTTTCCCAAACACAGGGTATTTAAACAACCAAACAGAGGACTTCAGTCTTCCAGGCTGCAAAATAGGACGCTTCAGGGGAAAAGAAAGTGGGAGGGGGTTTGGGGGGGAGGCCAGCCCCACACTGCAAAGGATTTAAAAGCAAACCAAACCATTCGGACAGAAGAGATCACTGTATTCTGCACGTTGCCATTTTTAACACCCCGTTGATGTGCATTAACTCTACATAAAAGGCCCCACATGCAATGCCCAGGAGGAATCACGGAAATTATGCTGAAGATGCTGCGGGACAAGAGTTTAACACAAAGAACACAGTCCAGCCCTGTGAGTTGAAGGCTGCTCTTCCCCACATTCCCCATCTGATTGATCGGCACACCCAGCAGAAAATAAATCGCAAGCCAGCCAACATCAGCGCTTTTGTTTCACCAAACGACATTTTGATACCGAAGCGATGTAACTGTGTTTTAAACGAAGCAGACTGGGCACGTCCATGCCATGATCACTCTCACTTCAAGGAAAAGGCACAGAAGAAAAGTGCTTGCACATCGAGAGCAGTCGCATCTTAAATCCTCTCCAGCAATATAGCACAGAACAGTTTATTGTCTAGCTTTGGCTTTCATTTTACCCTACCACTAGCTCTGCAGACCTCACGATGCATCTTTATGCCTTTTTAACTCCTCGCTATAATAGGAAAGCTGGAAAGGCTGTGGTTTCCCCCTTTATGGAGGAGGAGTGGAGGTTTCTATCACTCGCTTGCTTTTTGGCACCAGAAATTCAGGTTTTGTTTAGCTTGGAAACCTCGCGGATGTAGTTCTAGTAACTCTTCAGTCCAAAGCATGGGGCGGTAAAAGTTCAGTACTCAAAAGGTAACTCACTTAGTTGTCCCAAACTGCCAAGGAAAAGTAATTCTGAGTCCCACAGGGTGTGCCAGCCTGGAAAACATGAAATCATCCCAAACGGTCAGTTTGTTGGTCCACTGTACCTGCAGGCCAGCGGAGACCTCTGAGAAACACAAGGCTTATCTCCAAACACATCCTAGCAAGAGAATAAAATTATTTTCCTGCCCATGCTCATTTAATCCAAATATATGAGAGACTTCAGGCACACGAGCTATTGGCAATTTCCACGTCCACCACACATCAGCTTCCCCCAGCTCTCCAGCACAGGGAGCACGGTATGAAATCTGGCCTGGACACCTCATACTAATCCTCAGCTAAATTTTTGCCAGAAGAGCATAAAGTCACAGCCACGCTACAAATCACTGCAGCAACCAGGCTGCCTCGCTGGCAGGGAAATCGCTGCGTTTCTCATTAGGTGTTGCTCCAGCTTAGCAGGGCAGGGCCCCTCCGCTGGTCAGCCAGAGGCACTCGCACAAGACCAATGCCAACGCTCTCATTAAGGAACGCTGCACTCACACAACACCAATCCCAATATTCTCGTTAAGGAAGGCTAACGACGAGGTGCCAATACCTGCTCTCCTTGCTCACTAGTAACCGCTAGGGCTCTGCCTGCTGAAGTCATGCACGACCTAGGAGAGACCAGAACCAGGTGCTTTTTATTACATTTTGCAACACAACAAAAGAAATTGCACCCAGTAAGGAACTATTTCCCTTCTTCCTGGTGAGCAAGCACAACCTTGAGGAATCAAGTAATGAAGCCGCAGCATCTCCTGGGAGCAAGTTCACAGAAAAAATAGTTCAAGGGGACCCTGATCTTCAGCAACACAATTTAGCATGTTGCAACCCTCCCTCTGACGTCCGCGCATTGCATTTGCCTGAGCAAAATTAGGAGTAATATACTATTGCACGTAGGTCTGTTCACTTGTAGGGAAAGGGGCCCCACAGTTTTACTCCCTGGAGGCGCCCGCTCTCCCCACCCCTTTTGTGTGTGTGTGTGTTTTTTTTTTAATGTGCCACACATCAGCACAATGCTGACAACTGCATTGTATGTTTTCTGCCTATGCAGCAGTTCAAGAGCACACAACTCTGGAAGGTTTTTTGAAAGGGGAAAGGGGGAGGGAGCTGTCCTTTGCTATCCCATTTTAATTGCATGGCTCGCTCTTCTGTGTGACTATGGGGAAGGGGAAAAAACAAAGGATTAAGAACAGCACCGATTTTAGCATCCAAAAGGATCAAACTCAGTCTTCTCCCGAGATACAGTCAATTGGGCTTAGAGTAAAAGCCACCATAGGCAAGAAAAAAAAATACACCGGGGTTTCTTCCCTGGCATTGGACCCTAGAAGACAGCTCATCTATCCTCACTTGCTGTTGTTACAGCCTCTGTGTTTCCACACCTGCCAATGCAGAGATATTGGCAGTGAAAAGGGAAAATGGATGGAAGGGTATGAAAAGCCAGCCTGTCAGTTTTTCCACCTGCCAGCAGCAGCCTGATGGAGCCTTGGTGGCACAACTCCAAAGAGCAGTGACCAGAGCACATTACCAGCCTTCACAAATAGAGCTAATAGCTAATATCTCACATGCACTTGCGTTACATAGATAGGACCAGCAAACACAGCCTCCTTTAACAATAAAGATGACTAATCCCCAGCAGTTTTTCTTTATTCCTTTTTTGTTTGTTTATTTTTAAAGCCCACAAGGCAGAGCTTTTTCCAGAAGCACCGGCCTTTTCTTTTGTGAAACAGTAAGTGGTGGGAAGGGGAAGCCCTGGGACCTACTCATGCTATCCAGACAGAAGTAACCACAGAAACATTGTGGCTTTCTGTGGCCAGTGTACAGCACACACACAACCAGACCACTGTGCCTTACAGTCCTTGGCAAGGCCAGGTCCAACTGCCCCGATGGCTCTTGGATCGCTGCATGTTTACAGTACTTACAGAGAAGGTATCTACCGTGGAGTGGGAATTACACAAATAACCTTGCACTTCCCTAGGAGGAAAAAAAAAATTATGGCAGAAGACAGCTTTCACCCATAGCATTGCAACAGCCCCCTGTGCTACCTGGGTCAGGGAAGGGATGTGCAGAAAAAAGCTGCACGCAGGGTTGTGTAATCGAAGCGGAGCATCTGCATTAGCTTGGTGGGCCCAGTCCCCCCGGCAAGGTCATTCTGGCTTGCACAGACACATTAGTGCTCACAGCCTGCTTTAATGCAAAGCTGTGGTCAAACCACAGTGGAGCCAGCACTACAGGAGGTCACCTGGGGACTACAAAAAGGTAATGAATTAAAGACAAAAAAAATCTATAAGCAGATGTTTACTGACAAGCAGGCAAGTCCACATCTTCACTCCGGCAAAGAGCAAGAAGGAAGGGTCACTTGCGTGGAGCAGGGTGAGAAATAACAGCCCAGTTCCCAGGACACAGCAAAATCCATCTACAGAGAACGCTAAACAGATTTAGGTTACAGCTTTTAGCCATCCCGCATACCAACCTACCCCCTCCCAGCTTTGCAGCCCTAAACCCCACCAGATCTGTCATTATTCTAGCACTCAGAAATAGAGATTTGCCACCGATTCCAGGTCTACGTGATTTTTGGTGGCACCATTAAAATACTTACCCACCTCACAGGCAGAGCTGTGAAAGCTTAAATATGTGTGTGTTTGCAAATGATTTTGAAAGCCTTCCAAGGAAGGTGCTGTAGAATTGTAAATCCTTCCCATTATTAATAAAATGGAGCTATTGTTCCAGCTCTAATCAAGACTTGTCTCCAGCTGGGCAATTTTAAAATGCAATTCAAAGCGCACACACACACACACACACAAAAAACGATCATGAGGAAGCTTCAACCCACAGGCTACCGAAAGAAAAAAAAAAAAAACATTGAAACAGCAAGCTGTTGGGGGGGGTGGGGGTGGATAAAAAATAATAACGCTGCTATTTAAAATGAATTCCAAGCAGAAGCACGTCGGGGCGAGGGGAAGCCTTTCTCCCACCGCCTGGGAAAGGTCACTTCTGCCATCAGCAGCAAAGCCTTGCTCCGCAGATCAAGGCTGCGGCAGTGCATGCAAGCGAAGCGACCCCATTGCTGTAAGCCCAGCCTCATCCATCTCCATCAGGAGACATCTCTGCTTTTAATTTATTTAGCAAAGGGGGAGGGGGGAAGGGAAGAAAAAAAAAAGAAAAAAAAAAAAAGCCTTGCAAACACCTCCCAGCACCCCCTTCAAGGATGGGGAAATGGAGCAGGGGGGAGAGGCTCGGAAAGAGGCTGCGAGCAGTCAGAGCCCCTCCAAACCAGGGAGGGAGGGAGGGAGGGAGGTGGTGCATGGTGCATCCTCCTCCTCCTCCTCCTCCTCCCCCCGGCGGCAGGACCACGCCTGCCCGGCGCTGCGGCAAAGGCTCCGCAGTGGGTGCTCCCCTCCCCCGTGCAATTTCCTCTGCTGTAGAAACTTCTGGAATAAGCAGCCAAGCTGGGGAGAGGAGAGAAACCTTCCTACCCACAGAGGGAGAAAAAAAAAAAAAAAAAAAAAAAAAAAAGAAAGCGAGCGAGCCATAGAGCAGATAATAAAAGGGAAAGGAATGCCCAAGGAGCGGGGCACGGCTCTGCCTGCCTGCAGCAGATCTCAGTGTACAACATATGCGCCGCGGGGTTTTGCAGCCTGCGAGGCTGGAAACAAAACGCACCAACACAAAAGCACAAAAAATGGTGGTGTTTGGAGCGCTAGATGGTGGAATAAAGGAGCTGATCCCTCCTCCCGGAGCTACAGCAAAGCCCTGCCACTTAAGTTGAACTAATTTGTCCTCTCTTCTTGGTACAATGAATTGTCTGATCTGGACTATTTGATTGCGTTTGCAGCTTCAGTTACTGGGGTTTGTTTTTGTATTTTTTTTTTTCATTTTTGGTTCTGTTTCATTGTTTTCATTTTTTTATTTTTATCTTTTAATTCAAAAAATCCTCCCCAAATATCCCATGGAAAAATCTACATCTCTGTGGAACAAATAAAACATTCAGGCACAAACTTCCATCATGGACTGTTAAAAAGAAATGGGTTGCTTTTTTTCTTTTTTTCCTTTTTTTTTTTTTTTTTTATATGGCATTTTTTTCCTCTGCTTTTAGGATATATTGTAGTAGAAAGCCAATGGAGGAAAACACAGGTAATATATATATATAAATATAAAATCAAACATATATACGGGCCAAAATTGAGTAATTATATGTAATTAAATCATAGTGTTTTAGGTGTGTGGCTTTTGTTTTATATTCTGTAATCAGTCCTTGGAAGAAAGAGATATATAAATATACATATATGTAGAAATAAAATAACATCTGCATGGGCCTAAATCTATAATTCTAGGGGAAAAATAATAATAAAAAAGTAATAGTATTTTAGGTGTGTGGTTTTTAACAAAGCAGGGGCAATGTTATAATGTAACAATACTGTGGTGCAGAGAAAGGTAAGACAGCATTAACAAAAAAAAAAAAAAAAAAAGGAAAAGAAAAAGCGTACGTGGTACCTTGGCTGCAGCCTCCAGCGAGCATTTGGATGTGACGGGGTGTTTTTTTACGGTATTACCACGTCTGATCACACCAAGTATATGCTTTTAATTACCCGAATGGCGGGCAGGCTGTCGTGTGGAGCCAGGCAAGCAGCAGCTTCTTCCCCGCGCCCCTCCAGCTCTGCAGATAAATCACTCCTTGGGTGTTTTGGGTTTTCGGTGCCTTTTTTTTTTTTTTTTTAATCACGTTTGGGCATTTTCCACGCTGTGAGGAGAGCCAGAGGCGGTGGCTTCAACCCCTACGAAGGAGAAAAAGCGGTGGAGGAGAAAGAATTAGGCACAGAACTACCCACCTTGGGGTGCGTGCATGTGTGGAGGGGGTGGTGGAAAGAGCAATTCTGGCCCCAAAATCTTCACGCTCTGAGGGAAAAAACACCCCAAATGGGTCGGTGCTGGCGGGCTGTGGCGTGGGGGGACCACGGGGGCGATGGCGGCGGGGGGGGGAGGCCGAGGTCGCCCCCGAGGCCGAGTGGAAACGCGCGGCTCCGGGCATTTTCGCGTCCTTCTGCAAAGGCGGAGGGGAGAAGGGGGGTGCGTGAGGAAGGCGCGGGGGGAGCTCGGGTTTCACCCGCAGCGCTCTCACAGCCCGCCTGGAGGGGCTCCGCACGCCGGGGGGGGCCTCTCGGCCGTGCTCCTGGCAGGGCTTTGCCCACGCTCGCCGCCCCGGCCCCTCGCCGCCCGTCCTTCCCCCCGCTGCCCGCCCGGCGCCATTTTGTCGCCTGGGCGCCGCTCGCCGTGGCCTGGCCGGGCGGCCATTTTGTGAAGCGAGCGGCGGGCGGGGCGGCTCCTGCAGTACCGCGGGCGGCCGCCACGCGCGGGCGAGGCGGCGCTGTGGTGCCTGAGGCGGGCAGCCCCCGGCCCCCTCCTCCTCCCTCTTTTGTGAGGCAAATATCCTCCTTTTGCTATGTTTTTTTTTTTTATTTTTTTTTCTTCCCTCCGCAAAATGGGGAGGCTACGTGGTGCCCTTAAAACGAGAAAGGGAGGCGGCCGGCGGCGGAGGGGCGATGCCGATCGCCTCAGCGCAATCCTGCCTCGGACGAAGCCATCCGCAGGGGCGCATAAAGGAGATTAAAGTCTATTCCCCCGGCTGGGCTGTGAGGGAAAGTTTAGCCGCACGGAGAATTAAGGGATATATTTATTTCTAGGAGATATTTCCCCCGCCTCCTGCCTCCAGTGATAAATCACCGAGGTCAATGAGCTGCCCTGACAAACGCCCCGCTGCTGCACAATGCAGCATTACCCCCGAGAGAAATCTATCCCAGCCTTTTTTTTTTCAACAAAACCCCACACCTATGGACTCTAATCAACACCCCCGCAAAATAAAGAAGAAACATAAGCTGCTTGAAGTCAGGTCCAAGTGAAAATCATTAATTCACAGCCAGGAAATGGGGCTGCAGGATGCTGTAATCACCACTGACGCGATGAAATAAAGCTGGGATATAAAATGTCAAAGCCCTGCTTGCAGACATGTGCCATGCATCTATTTTCAGAAATAGGGTGGGTTGTGTTTTCTTTTTTCCTCTTTTTTTTTTTTTTTTTTCCCCTTGATTTTTTTTAACACAGCGTATAATTTGCAGGCTGGTAACGCTTGCATAACAGGCTGCATCGATTTCGCCTCCCGTATCAAAAACACAGTATGTGTTAAAAATAAATCCCAGCACTGGGTATTTAGGTGACAATCCTAGCCTGATCCTGCTTTGGGATCCTCCCATAAACATATCGCAGCCTGGATAGCTTGCTTTTGCAGGGAGACTGGAAAAAAAGGAGAATAGTGCACGGTGGTTTGGTGTTTCTTTTTCTTTTTTTTTTTTTTTTTTTACATCCTGGCCATGCTCCAAATTACGAAGCTGGAGACATTCAGGGCTTGCACTGCTCCACTTATTTTTAACCCAGAATGATTCCGTCTGCTTTTCATCCTTCTACCTCAACCAGACCACATTTCATGAAAGAGCTGTTAGCTTTTTCGGTTGCACTGAATACAGGAAGATGAAGGAATTTGCATACAGGAAGGTGAAGGAAATGCGTCCGAATGGTCTGCTGGAAAGGACAACGCTGCAGCAATCTGGCTGGGATATGTTTGTAATTAACTCAGGTCAACCAAAGGAAAAAAAAAAAAAAAAAAAAAAAAAAAAAAAAAAAACACAGTTCTTCGGCTCTCTGTCCTGTTTAAAAGGAAAACAAAGCATCACCATGAACAGCTTTCCAGCCAGCAATGCCCCCTCAACTGCTCTAGCCTCAGTTTTCCCTCCTGAGAACTGACCCATTTTGCCACAGCGTTTGCTGGTGGCTGGCTCTCGTTCGCTGCTCCCCGGCAGCTTTCCACGGCCAACAGCACCTTGGAGGCGGTGATGGCAGAGGGAAAGCATGTGAGGAATCCGGCTCGTCTCTCCCCCTCTGTTCTCTGCCTGCTTTTTGCATTTCTCACGGCTGATGGGGCAGTTTCCAACCCGTTTCCCTTTACAGGCTTGCTTATGCTGCACCAAAATCTTCAGTTTACAAACAAAACCTGTAAGAGGCACAGTTTGTTACAAACCGAAACCTCGATCACCGATTTAAAAACAGTATGGCCATGCCTGTCAGCTCATCCTTCAATTTAAAAGCTCATTTTAACAAACATGGCTGTCCCTTGAGTCACAAGAAAAAATCGTTTGCAGGTTTTGTCACACACTCTCATATTCCTGGGAGCAAATTGGGCCCTCACTAGGGTATCGTATCAGATGCCTTCTCTGGGAAAGACCAGAGAAATTTTATCCCCGGGCCGCACCCAGGCTGAAGTGAAGAAATATTTGCATTTGCTTCTCCTTGGAGGGCAGCCAGCCTGCCTCGCAGGTCCCTCCCTGCTCGTCTTGGCCTGCCAAGAGGGATTGCAAGAAAAGACGGGCTGATTGCAGCAGCCAAGGGGCGGGCAGGGCCCGGCCGGCGCATTTCGCAGGCTCTCCTCCGTGCCCTTTTGCACCTCTGCTGGAAGGCACCAAGTGAGACCTTAAGCGGATTTTACACCTCTGGGTGGTCTCGGTGGGGCTCTGCAGGGCTTTGGGGGGCTCCCTGGGCAGAACGGGAGCTTTGCGTTGCTCCAGGCGTGCTTTGTATTTTTGTTGGCAAATCCAGGTGCATTGGTGCTGAGTAAGGAGGCAGACTTTAAACTTTTCCCCTTGCAAAATCGCTTGTAAGGGGGTGAGGAGCCCAAGGACAGGCTGAGCTGTTGCAGACTGCATTTGCTTGCTCGTCGGCTGGATGGGACCCCCAGAACATCTCTGCACGGCTCAGCCAGGGCTGGAAATACAGCACAATTCCTCGAGATCCTCCCAGGGGAAAACCCAGGGCTGTGCTTTTCAGGCTTAACAACACTCTCCAGGCCCCAGCTCATAATGCTTCTCCCCTTATCCACCAAGAAAGCAGCTTAAATCAGCCTTTATCTGCTTACCTCCCTATCTGCCTACTCCTGTCATCCTCTGCTCCTGGAAAAAAAAGTACCAAATCTGACAAATCTGCATCTCTTTGCCACGCCACTGAACTCTCCAGCTGCACCTTGCCCTGCTGCTCTCCTCTCCAAGGCTTTGTATTGATAAAAACCTTTCCCTTCCTGCCTCTGGCTAAAAATCGCCCCAGGCCCGGGTGCTAATACGCTGTTCTGGCTCGCTCTGTGGGGAAGCTGTGAAGCACCCAAAGGTGCTGCACGGAGGGATTAACAAGTGTGCGGTGCAATAACACATCCAGAACACTGCTCAGCATCAGCGCTTCCATCCTCCCTGAAAACCCCATCTGGGAAACACCTATACTGCAAAAAGTGGTAAGCCCTTTGCTCTCTGGCACTTCCCTTCCCCACTCCCACAGTCCTGCCCATGTCCTTTTACTTTTCTGGCATCCTTTCGGTGCCTGGCTTTCCCCACAGAGCAGAGGCTTTGGAAACGAGCTGATTCTGAGCACTGGCCAGCCAGACCCAAAGCCACCTCCATACGTGACCATCCTGGCTCCAGGAATGACAACTTCCCATGAGCATCCTATTTATAAATAGTTTACAGCAAGTTGTGACCTGATTGATGGCCATAGACGCACATTACCAACGTGAGTAAGAGGCTTTGTAGATGGGGAGAGACAGCAGGAAACATTTGCGGGGTTGCTGTGATTAATCAGCCAGCCAGGGCTCCAGTGCATACATTACCCATACGTTAACCCTTTCGTTCAGAAATACAGCACGTGCTGTTATTCAACATCACCTAGAAGCATTTATCTGCTGTTTTTCTGGTTGTTTGGCCTCTTTTTTTTTCTTTGTCTGTCTGGTTTGTAAAACACTCCCAAACACAATGAGTGCTGGTGGCACTGCTTGCACAGATGTCAGAAGCACAAGAAAAGGGTTAATTTCAGCCTTTTTTTCCACATTGGACCAAAGGAAAGTCAAAAAGCTCCTGCCAGCGGTGCAGTATTATCTCGGGTAAGATGCAAACACGAGGCATTGGTGCCAGTGCTGTCAGTATCCAGAAGACAGACTTTAGACTTTTTTTCTGCCTGATGGGGGAATTTGTGCTCCGGCTGCCCTCTGCTGGCTCTGAGACTTGTTTGAGACAGCGCACGGACAATCAGCAAAAACAAACCTCCTAACATCCTTTTATCAGCGCTGCATTGCAAAATCCCAAGTCCAGCCCCCCAAATAACCCTGTTTTCCCCCAGCCTGCTGAATCACCGCGTCCCACGCCAAAATCAGCTGCGTTACCAGCGAGCAACCCAAGCAAGCTCACGTCCAGCCTCCTGCCACCCACAGCAGCCCGTAAGTCAAAAAGTGGCTTTTTCCCTATTTGCAAACTTGTGTTTTGTAAGGTCTGGGACACAGGAAACGGGTGGATGAAAGAAAGTGCATTTTTAGGTTGGGGTTTTATTTAACTACAAGGAGCTAAATCAGCGCTGCTCTCTGCATCACCCCAGAGAGAAACGTTTAAATGAAACCCCAAGGAAGCTCAAGAAGAAAGAAAAACACCAAGGAAACCAAACCGGCCTCAGAAGTTTTTTTTTTTTTATATATATAAAAAAGCAAGGGAAACCTCAGCTTGCCCACCACTGCTGCTCTTCCAGGGCTTTTTCTGTTCGCAACGAGCGGTTGGGAAGAGGGCTGAGGGACAGGGTCCCGGCACGTTGTGGTGATGAAACGCTGGTCCCGCCGCTCCCTGCGCGTCCATCGTGGGACAAGCGGGGTTTTTTTTTAGCAGGACGACTCGTTCCGCCGGCGGACGTGGCAGGACTTGCAGAGGAGGTGCTGGCCCAGGGGGTAGCACCCATCCTCCGTCGGCTCCGGCGACAGGGGTGTCCCACAGCTCTGCGGAGGAGCAGGGGGGGTGCAGAGGCTGCAGCTGAGCCCCGCGCTGCATCGCATGCAGGACGCCGCACCATTGCGCCCTGCTTTCTCCCAAACCCCACCTCGTGTCCAACACCAACCGCGGGTGCTTTGCGGAGGCACCAGGACAGCCCCACTTGTGTTTTGCCCTCCCTCTGTCCCCCGGGGCCGTACCTCGCAGCGGTAGCAGCTCTCATGGAAGCTGCGTCCCAGGCACTCGATCTTGTAGGTGTCCTGGTCCTCACTGGGGATGATGGGGAGCTTGCAGGCACCGCACACCGGGGCGTATTTCCTTGGTGGGACAAAGGAGGGGTGAGACGAGCCTCGGGGGGGTGGCTGGGACCAGCCGAAAGCCCCCACCCAGGGCTGCTCTCCTACCTGTAGAAGTCAGCCACGCAGTACACCTCGTCCCGCTCATCCACGGCAAAGCTCTCGGCGCCGATGGCCCGGCCGCAGGCGGTGCAGGCGAAGCAGCTGGGGTGGAAGCCCTTGCCCATGGCCCTCACGATGCGCTCCGTGATCAGCCCCTGGCACTTGGCGCATTTCTCCAGCGTGGCCTGGAGGCGATGGGGGGAAGATGCTGGAGATGCCGGCACCCCCCTGATGTCCCGGGGGCACCGAGTGTCCTGTAGGGTCGGGTACCTGGTAGCAGGCGTCGCACGTGGGGCGCCCGTCCCTTTGGTAGTAGCGCTGCCCGGCCAGGCGCTGCTGGCAGGTCCGGCAGGTGAAGCAGTCGGCGTGGTACTGCTTGCGCATCGCCTCCACCGTCGGCTCCCGCGGGCCCACGGCTTTGTGGCAGAAGGCGCAGATATCTGCGGGAGGGGACAAAGGGGGGGTTGGCCTCGGTGTCCCCAGCTGGGGATGAGCCTGCACCATCCCCCTGCTCACCTCTGGAGCCGTCCCTCTCCAGGTGCCCGTTGGCATCCTGCCACGGCGGTTTGTCTGCTTGCTCCTGGCGAAATTTGGGCGGCCTCAGCTCAGCAGGGAAGGCGGAAGGAGCCTGGTGAGCAGGAGGCAAACGTGCGTTACGTGGAAGCCCTCAAGGGTGGGGAAACTGAGGTGTGGGGGTGACGGCACCCCGTGGGGCTGACCTGCAGGGTGGCAGGCGCTGCGAGGTCCAGCTGCTGCAGCGCCGGAGCCAGCGCCTCCGCGGACAGGGGCTGGGGCACTTCGGAGAGGATGAGGACGGGTGAGGACGAAGGCACGGGCGCTGGCGGGGACCGAGGGCAGCTTTCTGCAGGAAAAGCCAGGCACGGCACGTTGGGAGGGCGATGCCAGCTCCCATCCCACCCTTGTCCCCCATTGCAGGGGACACCCCGACGCTCTGCCGCAGCGCTCGCCGACCAACCCCAAAAGCAAACGCCAGCCGGGCAGGAGGAGACAAACAGAGCTGATAAGGGCCCGGCGACGGAGAGCAAACACAGCCCTTCCCCAGCAGCCGGATCCAACCCAGGGCTGCTTTGGGGGTTTGAGGAACGACCCCCCAGAAACACCCCTCCCCAAAAGCACGTCCCGTCCTCCCCCTCCGCCTGCACCCGCATCCTTTTGCAAAGCGTCACCGCAGGATCCTCGGCACCGGCATCGTCCTCGCGCGCGGGACCCCACGGTCGCCCCTCACCTCCGTTGGGCAAAGCCCGGGGCTGCAGCGGGGATGCCTGGGGGCGATGGGTGCCCTCGGGGACGGGGGGTGACAGCCCCGTTTGGGGCCGGTCCTTGGTGGCCGCCTCCCTCCGCGGGGGCACCAGGGTGATGAACACGGACGAAGCCATCCTCTTCTCCGCTTTCCCGGGGAGCATCGTGGAAACAGGCAGGTGGGCCGGAGCTGCGCTGGATGATTATTATTATTTTTTTTTTTCAAAAATAAGATAAAGGAAATAATATAAACACCAGAGCGAAATCTGCCGGTGTGCCGGTTGCCTGGTGTGCCTGCAGCCGCGCTGCCCTTCGGCCTCAGCCCGCCTCCTCCTCACCCTCCCGGAAAGGGAGAAGGAATGAGCGGCCCCGCACCCGTCCCACGTCACGGCCATAAACGGCCTCGTGCCCGCCGGGATGTGGTGTAAAAGGACCCGGCAAAGCGCCCGGCAGGTGAAGCCCCCGAGGTCTCCCCTTTCCAAGCCTCCTTGGCCAACCCCAGCCTTCTGCAAGCTTTGTCAGCTTGTTTTTCCCTCTTATTGCCCAAACTGGAACTGAAACAGTCGGAGAAACCCATCTTGCCTATTGGAAACAGGGTTGTGAGCGCATCTGCTTTTGCACACCCTTTTTGGGGTGTTTTCCAGCTCCCTGAGCACCCCTATCTCCCCCTTACCACCCCCAGCACGAGGCACCCCCCGTTTTCTTTCTGCAGCTTGGGGAAACTGAGGCACGAAGGTGCCGAGGCGGCCCCCGCGCACCCCCCGCCGCGCAGGCAGGATGCGCCCGACCCCGAGCGACCCCGGCGGGGAAGGAAAAGGGCTGCTGGCTCAGCTCCGCCAGGGGAAAAGCAGCCCAGCTTGCACAGGGAGGGGGGGAAACGCGCTTCCTCCCCGCTGCCTGTCCCCGTACCTACCCGTGCAATGAGTTGCCCGGTCTCATGCGGCGCCCTGGCAGCGGCACGGGGTGGCTCCGCTCCCCCAAATCCCCTTCACGGGCATCCCCGCATCCTCTGCGGCGGGGAAAAAGCTCGGGGACAAGCCCGCCGGTGACTTCAGCCTCTGACTCAAATGAAAGGGAGGAAAAGGAAAACCCAGAGTGGCTTCGCGTGCTCCCTCCCTCCCCGCCGGCGAAACCCAAACGGGCCCCGGCGCTGCCAGCCCTCGCCCGGCGCTCAAATCCTCGCCCCGGGCAGCCGCCGCTTCCGTGCTGCCTGGCCGGGCGGCAGAAAATAAGGGGGGGAAAAAAAAGTAATGATCATAAAAAAAAAAAAAAGAAAAATCTCCAGGGCTAATGTGAACCATGTGCTCCGTGCATTCCTCTTTGTGCTGGGGCGGCCGAGCTCCCGGCAGCCCCACTGCCGCCCCACCGGCCAGGGTGGCTGAAGCTGGGGGGGGGCAGCATTAGTGGGGCTTGCACCCCGCTTTTTTTGGGGTCCCTCCTCCCCCCCAGGTCGCGTTTTCCCTCTGCCAAGCTGTTTTGGGGTGGCTGCATGGGGAAGGGGCCCTGCAACAGTTGCCCCAAAAGCTGGGGTGCCAGAGCCCGGGTGGGATCAACGGGGCTGGGGCCACTTATGGGGCATCCCATCCCAAACTGGGGCAGGATGCGGCCCCCCAGCTGCCCCCCAGCCCCAGGGACCCCCCCGGGCCCTGTGAGGACACCCGAAGGAGACAGGACAGGGTGGGGGGCGACCTCACTGTCCCCCCACAGCCCCGCTGTCCCCTCACCACTGACCCAGGGGGTGGCTTTGCAGCCCCCTGTCCCCCACCTGGGTGTCCCCCCTGTCCCTGCAGAGGGTGGCCCTGCAATCCCCTGTCCCCCCCGGGGGGGTGCCGACCCCTATGTGTGCTCCCCCCATCCCCTCCCTTCCCGGGGGTGTCTTTTGCCCCCATCCCATCCCAGGGCAGCCCTGCGGTCCCCATCCCCTCCCTTGTGGGGTGGGGGTCCCACATCCCACCCCGGGGTGCCCCCAGCCCCATATACCCGGGGTTGTTCCCTGCCTGGGGAAAAGGTGTCGGGGGGGGGTTCCCCTATTAGTTTGGGGCTGTCGTTTGCCCGGGGGTGCCCCCGCAGCCCCGTGCGCCCCCGGGGGTGGCCGCTGTCCCCGTCCCGTCCCGTCCCCGTCCCCTACCTGTGCAGCCGGTGCGGGTCCCTCCGTGCGCTCCGCGGGCGCGCCCTGCCCGGCGGGGGGGCAGAGGGGAGGCTGAGCCGCCCGGCATCGCCGCCCCTTCCTCCCTCCTCCTCCTCCTCCTCCTCCTCCTCCTCCTCCTCCTCCTCCTCCCTCCCTGCCCCACGGCCCGCCCCCCCCCGTCCCCCGGCAGGAGGCCCCCTACGCCCTGGGGTGGCCCCATAGGGTGTGCCCCCCACCCCGTGAGACCCTAGGGAGCTTCCTGACCCCAAGGGGGCCCCTCAGGTCTCCAGGGGGTCCCTGGGTGCTGGCGGATGACCCTCCCACCCCCAGGTTACCCCATGCACTTGCCCCCCCTCCCCGATTGTCCCATGCGCCCCCAGGGTGCCCCCATAGAGCCCCGGGATGCCCCACAGCACCCCACAGCCGGACGCTCCATGCACCCCCCCATACAGCCCCAGGTTGCTTCGTGTGCCCCACAGGGCCCCCAGGTCGCCCCCCCACCCCAACCCTCGCATGCCTCACATGCCCCCACACATCTCCGGGTTGTCCCCATACAGCCCCATGCACCCCCAGGTTGCTCCGTGTGCCCCTGCACAGCTCCAGAATGCCTCCTGTGCCCCCACAGAGCCCCCAGGATGTCCCGTTCCACCCCAAGTACCCCAGGATGCCCCCATACACCCCCCAGAATGCCCCATGCACCCCCAGTGCACCTCCCAGATGTCCCATACAGCCCCGTGCAGCCCAGCCCCTCTGCTGCTGTGCCCCCAGTGCCAGCTCCCGGGGCAGGGGCTTCCCACCCCAAACCCCACACCCCATCTGCACAGGGCCAGGTGCCCCCTGGCATGGCTCAGGTGGCTCAGGGAGGTGGGGACACCCCCTCTGTGCCTCAGTTTCCCTCCACTGGGGCTGTCCCCAAGCCTGTTCCCAGCATGATGGGCCCCCAGCTTGCTCTGCCCAGGCATTTGCTGGAAAAAAAAAAAAAAAAAGAAAAAAAGAAAAAAAGAAGAAAAAAAAAAACACTTTATTTTCTGTGCTTTATAAAGCCCTGGAGGTCCCACACCATGGCGGCGTGGCCACGCACCCCCTGAGGACAGGGATATCCATCAGAATCCCATGTTCTGAGCAGGAGGAGGGAGCCAACCCCCCCCCCAGCACCATCACAGCCTTGTGGGGTCGTCCCCAAAAACAGGGGCCGTGTGAGCATCCCCCCAGCCCCATGTGTCCAACGGGATGGGGTCGAGCGCCTTCCAGGAGCCCTCTTCCCTGGGTCCCCGCAGGGGCTCTCCAGCGCAGTGGGGAGAATTTGGGGAGCTGGGTGAAGCCACCCCGCATTTCTCATCCCCACTTACGCCTTTCTTCTCAGGACGATCCCTGCTGGGCGCAATCCTACGGGAGACGAAGGGGAGAGAAGTGGGAAGGCGGGCGCCAGCCCCTCACCGTGGCCTCGGGGCTGAGTCGGGGGCACTCACCTGCCGCCGGCACGCCTCCAGCAGGACGCCGGCACGGAGCAGGCACCAGAGCTCGCCCAGCAGCGAGAGGAGGACGTGCAGGATGTCTGCCCAGCGGCCCACGGTGAGGAGGAGGATGAAGAGGCCGCCCATGCGCACCAGCACCGTCTGGAAGACCGCCTGCCCGCCTGCGCTCGGCCGCTGCTCCTCTGCGGGGACACGGAGTCAGGGTGGCCTCGTCCACAGCAGGAAAGTTCATCCAACTTTGGGTTGTCCCCAAAACTTGGAGGACCCAAGTGACCTCCTGGTTGAGTCACCCCCAAATACGGGGTCCTTATTGCAAAGGCATCCCACGTGGAAATGACCTCCCAGTTGGCTTGTTTCCAAAATTAGGGGGGGACCCAAGTGACCTCCTGGTTGGGTCATCTCCAAAATTTGAGGGACCCACGTGACATTCCAATTGGGTTGGCCTCAAAATCTTTGGGGTTCCTATTGCAAAACCACCCCATGAGGAAATGTCCTCCTGGTTGGGTCATCTGCAAAATTTGGGGGAACAAATGACTTCCTGATTGGGTTGTCCCCAAAATATGGGGAGACTCAAATGACCTTCTGGTTGGTCTGTTCCCAAAAAATTAGAGGGAACCATATGACCTCCAGGTAGCACCATCCACAAAATTTGGGATCCATATTGCAAAGACACCCCATGGGAAAATGCTGTGTCAATTGGGTCATCCCCAAAATTTGGGGAACCCAAATGACCTCCCAGTTGGATTGTCCCCAGATTCCTTGGGGTCGACTATTGCAAAGCCACTCCATGGGGAATCATCCTCCTAGTTGGGTCATCCCAAAAAAATGGGGGACCCAAATGACCTCCCAGTTGGCTTGTCCCCAGAACTTAGGGTTCCCTACTGCAAAGCCTCCCCATAAGGCAATGTCCTTGGTTGGGTCATCCCCAAACTGTTGGGGATCTCCCAAATGATCTCCTGGTTGTGTTGTCCCCAAAACTTGGGCTCTATGTCGGCAGAGCTACCCCAAGGGGGAACAACCTGCCTGGTTGATCCCCACAATTCGGGGTCTGTATTGCAAAGCAATGGCCTGAACACCGGGTTGTCCCCAAAATCTGGGTTCCCCCAAAACTCTACGACACGCCGCCCGCCTCTCACCTTGCATGTAGATGACCAGCAGCGTGTAGCAGATGGTGAGCGGCGTCCAGAAGCGGACGGCCTCCGCCGTGGAGAGGAAATCGCGGTTGATGAGCGAGACGGCGGCCAGGTCGGCCACGGTGAAGGTGATGACCAGGGCTCTGCGCAGCAGCCGGGGGATGCGGTGGCCGGCGGTGAGGAGCAGCATGCAGACGCCGCAGTAGCTCTGCCGGCTGTGCAGCTCGTAGAGGCTGCAGGTGTGGAGAGCCAAGCGCCGGGCGTGCACGGCCAGCAGCCCCGCCAAGCCTGCCGCCAGCGCCAGGTTGCTCGTCCCGTGGGGAGCCCCTTCCAGCAGGAAGCTGAGGCCGCAGGACACGCCGCAGCCCAGCGAGTACTGGCACAGCAGGAGGAGCTGGCTGCTGTGGGTGCCCTGCGAGAGCGGGACGGCGCCGTCAGGAGCTGCCCAGGGTGCAAAGCCGCGAGAGAAGGCGCGGGTGCGGAGCCCTGGGTGGGTTCCTCCGTGCCGCAGCCCCCACGTTCCCCATGCCTGCAGCCCTCATCCTCCCCATGGGTGTTGCAAAGCAGCAGGAGGATGCGCCACTGCGAAGCCACGTGTGTCCTCCTCCAGCCACATCCCCTGCCCTCCCCACGGGTGTTGTGAAGCAGTGAGGGGCCATGCCCAGCCCCTGCAGCCCCCGTGGGAGTTGCAGAGCAGCAAGGGGCTGCACCATTGCAAAGCGACGCATGGTTTCCTCCCAAGCTCAACCCCATCCTCCCCATGGAGGCTGCAAAGCATCAGGGTGCTGCACAGCTTCCTCAGTGCCGCAGGGCGCTGCGAGCAGTGAGGGGCTGTGCGGCTCCCACCCTGCCGTGCCTCAGTTTCCCCGGCCCCACTCACCTTACTGAGGGAGAGGAGGGCGGACACGGCACGCAGGGAGAACTCGAGCACCACCAGCGCGGCCACGCGGGAGCCCACCAGCGCCAAGACGCCCGTCAGCACCAGCACCTGCAGCAGCTCCAGCGCCCGCCGCTGTGCCCCGATTGCTGCCTTCAGCTCCTGCCTTGCCGGGTCACTGGTGACAGCAGGGGGACACCAGGATGGGGTTGCCCACAGCAGGGAGAGGGAGAGGAAGGCGCAGCCCCCAGCATCCCTAGGTCACCTTTTCAGCACCCATGGGTGCTTAAAGCAGCTCCTAAGAATGGATCCCAAAAGCAGGTGCCCCAAGAGAAGCCCCAAGAGGAGAAGCCCCAAGAGGAGAAGCCCCAAGAGGAGAAGCCCCAAGAGGAGAAGCCCCAAACCAAATGCCAGGGGGAGGGATGGGAGCTTACTTCAGACACTGGATGTAGAGATAAACCTTCAGGAGGCTGCAGAGCACCGAGACAGCACAGGCACCAACCAGCCCTGTGGGGACAAGCAGCAGGGGGGTCACCGCGTCCCCCCATCCCCGTGGTCCCGTGCCACCCCGCGGGCTCTCACCTTGCAGCAGCGCATCCAGCAGAGCCCAGCCCCACGCCAGCCCGGGCCACGCCGGCAGCCAGGACCCCAGGGAGAACATTTCTCAGTGCGGAGCAGCCGCGGCGCAGCCAGGCCTGGCTCAAAGGTCTGCGGGCGGAGGCTCCCCTGGGGCTGGTAAATCATTGCCGACTGGAGTCGCCACGCTGGGCGCAGCCAGGCTCAGGGCAGCACCTCCAGCCCCCATGGAGGGGAAATTTGGGCAGCGGCAAGGTTTGAAATGCAGCACTCACATCCTTCCTTGCCACCCCCGGCATTGCCGCTATCCTTCCCGGCCCCGCTCGGTGCATTTGGCCAAACCCTCAGCCTAATCCTGCAGCCCGATGTGCTGAGAAGGCCTCGCACAGGATCCCAGCCCCCAGCCCCAGCCCCCCAAAGACCCTGAAGCTCCACCGAAACAGAAAAAAAAAAAAATCCCTTTATTAACCGCCGCCAGCTCCTACGGCCCAGGGGGCGGCTGCTGCTGCACCATCTTCCTGAGCTCGTCCCAAAAGAAGAGGCTGAGCACGGTGTGGGGGCCGAGGCGGAGGTAGACAGCGCCGATGCCCTTGTACAAGCCCAGCAGCCCCTCCTTGCTGGAGATCTGCACAAAGCAGTCCCAAAACCCCCGGTACAGCTTGCCCTGCGGAGAGAGGAGGCGGCTGCAGCTCCTCGCTGGACGCATCCTGGGGTGGAAAAAAGTCAAATTCCCCGCAGGGCCTTACCGCGCCGTCGGCGTCCACAGGCTGGTTGTAGAGACGGGTGCTGACCACGTCGAAAGGCGTCATCGTCACCGCCACGGCCACGCCGCTCACCATGCCCCCCGCCAGCACCGCGGCCCAGCTGCCCTCCCCGAACCACTGCGGGAAGCGGCGGCCGTCAGCCGAGCCAGGCATTTCGGGGACTGGACCCGGTGCATGCCGGATGCTCACCGGTGCTGGATACTGGTGCAGGATCCTGCTGGATACTGGTGCAGGATCGCTGGGTACTCACCTGGTGCTCGCAGACCCAGTCCTTGGCGGAGGCGAAGGTGGCGAGCTGCGCGGCCGAGCCCACGGCCACGCGAGGCACAGCGCCCGACACCCCCCGCCACAGCCCCGCCACGCCGTGCTGCCTGTAGATGCTCTCGAAGGCACCCGAGATGCTCTGGGAAGAGGCAAAATTTGGGGTGAACAGGAAAGGTGATGGCCCCAAACCCCCTTGGCTTTCACCCACAAAGCCACCTGCGGGGACCACGCGGGTGGCACTGGGCCTGGTGTCGCTGCACCCCGCAAACGTCACGTGAATTATTTCCGAGCGCCACCGCGCAGCCCGCGCCGTTTATTTATAGCACCCGTGTGGGTCGAGCTGCCAAACAGCAGCTTTAAATAGCCGCTGGCCAAAATAATCCATGTCACCCCCCCCACCTCCCTGCTGCTGGTGTGCGCACGGCGGGAGTGCCACCGGTTCGTGTCCCCCTGACCCCGACCCCGCTCACCTCGTGGTTGTGCTGGTGGCCCACGGCCACGGCCGCCAGCGTCTGGGCTTGGAGGTGGGTCTTGACCTGCGGGGACGGTGACACCGGGTGACGGCAGGTGACAAATTTCCCCTCCTCCCCCCTTGCCCCTATGCTAAAACACCAGGAAGGGCCTGGTATCCCTCCCGGGGCTTCAGCATCTTGCTTTAGTGCCAAAAAAGCAGCTTTTAGGGTCAATCTGAGCCCCTCCAGCAGACGTTGTGTGCCCAGATGTATTGGGGGGGGCGCAGAGCTGTGCCCCCCTCCCCAGACTTCGAACCCCGCTTTCCCCTCCCGCCCCAGGGCAAAGGGCCCCGTCGGCACCTGCAGTGCCCTCACCTTTGAGCCGCGACCGCTCTGTGCCCCAAGAGAGGGAGAGACCCCCCAAAAAGGGGGAAAGCACCCACATTTCCTTACAGTGGGTGCTCTGTGCGAGGGTTTCCAGGAGGAGGGGGGGGGGGTGACAAACCAAGGGGCTGGGGGCAACCCTTGGATGGGGACAGCGGGGATGCCGAGCACGCACAACGCAGCCCCTGCATTTCGGGGACAAAGCCGAGCCGGGACAAGGACAGGGGGACATGCAGAGCTGGGATGCTCGAGGATCGGGGGGGGGCTCCCCAGCCCTCCAACCCCTCCCCGGGCAGCTCTGCCACCCCCCCGCAGCACTCACCAGGTACGCGGGGCTGCCCACGAAGGCCCCCACAGCCCCCGCCACCGCCCCGGCGACCACGGTGCCACCGGGCCACCCCGTCCAGCCGGCGGCCAGGGCGCAGGAGTAGCAGTAGAAGCGGACTCCGTTCATCAGCCCCTGGTAGAGGAGGCCGGCGGCCAGGCCCTTCTGCAGCCCCCGCAGCCCGTCGGCCCTACAGACGGCCCCCGCCGCCCGCAGCACGCCCCGGTAGGGCCGGGGGTAGGTGCCGGGGGCGCGCAGCTCGCCCTGCAGCTGCAGCCGCGTCTTGACCACCTCCAGCGGGTTGGTGAGCACGCAGGCCATGCAGCCGGCCGCGGCCCCCAGCACCAGGTCGGCAGCCGGAGGAACCCCCCCGGCCGGGGAGCCCTGGGGGCTGGGGGCTCTGTTTTGGGGGGGACAGGGGAATTCGGGCAGGGCGGCGGGGAAGGGGGCGAGGGTGCCGGTGCCCGCCGCCATGCAGCACCTGCCCGCCGCGGGGACGGCGCCAGGCTCCACCTTCCTCGCCCTGCGGGCACCGGGGGGGGCTTCGAGCACCGCCCCTGGGCGAGCCCCCCCCCTCCCGCCTCGGGTCCGCACCCACCCCGCCGCCGCCCCCCGATTTGGGGCCGGGATATAGGGCAGAGGTCAGCCGGGCGCTGCGCCCCCCCCCCCCGCAGCCAGATCCCCGCTGGGTGCCCTCCCCCCGCGTGACGCGGCGCGAATGGGAGGGAAAAAAAAAAAAATCAGCCCAAAACGCCGGGGAATTAAAATTAAGGCCAGGGAGAGGGGGTCCGGGGGCGGCCCCTCGCCTTCCCCCCAGCCGGACGGGCACCGGGGGGGGCACCAGGACGGCCCCGCTGGGGACCGCGGCGGGGGCTCAGGGGCTTCGCCCCCCCTCCTGCTGCTGGGACCTGAAATCGGAGCTTTTGGGGCTAAAAGGCTGCAGGGGACACTGCGCCCCGCCCCCCCCCCGCTCCCTGATTTTACAGCCGGGGCTGGGTTTCACCTTGCGGCCAACCAGGGGGTTATTGGGGGGGGGGGGTGTGCCTTGGCGCACGGTTAAAGCCGCTGGGGGCTTCCTTGCCATCCTCCTCTTCCTCCTCTCCCTGCCGCAGCGCCTCCGGCTCCCTCCATCAAGCCAAAAATCGCCCTTGGAGGAACACGAGGGGACCCCAGGCAGCCACAGGGCGCAGGGCCAGGTCCGAGTTACCAATGAACATTTATTTGGGGAGGGGGACAGGAAGCAGATGTATATACAGATACATTCAGTCACATACGTTTCCTCCCAGAAAAAGGCTTTGTGAACATATATTACATGAGATCTCTGTATTATTGTTTAAAAGCTCAAACGGTGCCCCAAGGGGCTCACTGCAGAGGGCAGGGGGATGGGTCCAGCACAGGGCTGCTGCCTCTGCTCCCTCGGTGGTGGATGAAGCGAGCCAAGAGCCCCAGGCAGGACAACAACAGCCCTTAGGACATTTGAAGAACACCGGACTCGATCCCTTCTCTCCCTCGGCACGTGGGGCCGGCTGGGTTTTGTCCAAGTACATGTCCAAGCCTTGAGCCAGCCTCTGCCATCTCCTAAAACCGCACCGCTCGTAAACAGCCATGATATTCAAAGCCAAACTTTGGGCCCCAATTCCTCTTCCTTTCCCATCGTTCCCTGCCCGCCACCTCAGATCTCAGCCTCAGCACAGTGATGTCTGGATGCACCAGCTCCAGGTGAGATGTTCCCATGCCCGGAGGTGGGCTGGGAAGGAGGAGACGAAGCGGTGCCGTACGTGGTGATTGTATTAGCAAGGAGAAAACATGCACGGTAGTGATTTAGTGTTCCTGTCTCGTCACGTCCGCCACCTACCCTGTTCTAAAATGAACAAAGCCTCGCTGACTGCCACTCCTGCTGCGACAGGTGGGTGCCCAACCCCAGCCCACCCCGCTCCCACCCTGCCCTCCCTACCAGTACGGTATTCCTTGAAAGGCAAATTATATTGCCCCGTGGCAGACGGATGACGAGCAGGGTGCAGGGTGTACAGGGAAAGAGGCCAAGCTTGGCCTCGGCTCCAGCATGGCGAAGTGTCTGGTCACCACGTGCCTCTCCCTGCGGCGGCACCGCCAACGTGCTGCACGTCCCCGGCTCCAGGCAGAGTGTGGCAGGGATGGGGTGCAGGATCCTCACCTGCAGGCACGTTGCTGGTGGGGACCGAGAGATGGCTGGGAGGGTTTGGGGTGCCAGTTGGCCACAGGGCAGATGGTTACAGGCTCCGTGCTGTGCCCGCTCTCTGAAAGCGCCTCAGGGCGTCCCACCAGCTGTCCTGCCCCTGCCAGGGCTAACACCAGGGGTCCCGCTCCGCTCGTCCGCGGCACAGGCTGTCACTGCGCTGCCAGGCGCTGTTGATGAGGCTCTGAGCGTCCTCGCACTTCTTCTTGACAGTGGCATCCAGAATGGCCTTGTGCAGGAGGTCGACCTGAAATGTGCGGAGCAGTCAGGCACGGATAAACCAAAGCTCTTCCCCCTCATTACAAAGCCGCCTCAAAAACAGACATAAAAAGTCATCTGTGTCATGAATACTGGGGACAGAGGGGGACAGGGCCGACCCATCTTCTTTCCCACTTCCTTTGTCAGTGCTGGATGCTCATGGCCTGGCTTGTTGGGGGCCTCCAACATTTCCCCTGCTCTAAATCCCACATCCCATGGTTACACAGACACAGCTTTGTGGCTTCTCCTGTCCCTCGCAGGAAGGCTGGGTTTGCTCTGCCTATAGGCAGGGAAAAATTCACCCACACCTTCCTCAGAGCACACGGGCCCCACTTGCCCTGCTGCTGTAGGAAGGGTGTGACAGCCTCGCACACTCACCTGGTAGATGTTCCTCCACGCAGCGTTCAGCGCTGAGAGGAACCTCTCCAGTTCTGTAGTGCAACTAAAATAGAGCACCCAGGGGGGCAGGAACTGCTTGCGGTCCTGAGCAAACTCCTGAACACCGAGAGAGAAACCAGGCGTTACTACCACAGTCCTAGCCCAGCGCAGGGCCAGCCCCTGAGCACCACACTCACCAGGATACAGTACTCCTTGCCGGCCTCTGTGGAGATGGCAGTGATGTCCGTCAGCTCCATGGTGCCCAGTGAGCGGAAGAAGCTTGTCTGGCAGTCCTCGTGGCATGTGAAGGCCTTCTGGTCCGTCAGCACAAGGCAGCAGGGGACACAGGGTGTAGGGGCAACACCCTGGGGGATCACCTGCACAGG